AGCTGCAGCTCCCAAGTCAGCCACACAATCATGAGGTACACAATCGTAATCGTACACTTACGACGATTCTGTACCAATACAACCCTTTCAGTTTTTCCCTTTCAGTACAGTAGTCACTAAATTACACTAGATATTCAACACTTTATTATAAAATAGGCTTTGTGTTAGATGATTTTGCCTAACTGTAATCTAACCTAAGTGTTCTGAGCCCGTAAAGGTAGGCTAGGCTAAGCTATGATGATGTGCAGCAGGTTAGGTGTATTAAATGCATTTCTGATTTAAGATATTCTCAATATACCATGGGTTTGTTGAGACATAATCCCATTACAAGTTGAGGAAGATCTATACATGTGTATCATTTTCCACAGTTACTTTCATCTCTGTCTTAAGAAGTATCTCCTGCTTAGAACAAATGCCACTTGAACTTTTATGTGGGTCTCTTCTTACCTCCATGGTTCCTTCTTTCTTAAAAATCTTCCACATCTAGCTCATTCTCCTTAATATTATTTATATTATATATATTTACAAATATGCTCAAATCTCTTAAACAAACACCAAAATAGTCCCTTGATTCTACAGCAAACCACACCCCTACCCTACCACACCCCAAACTAATGTTTTCTCAGCCAAGATTCTTCAGAGAGGAGGTCATATTTCTTGTATCCATTTTCACCTGCTGGTTAGGCTTTGCCCAATTACAGCTCACCTTTCATCACCCCTGTATCCACGCTACTGAAACTTTCCTAACTAAAATTATAGATGCAAACCTAATTATCAAATGTAATGAGAACTTTTCAGTTCTTCTTTTACTGGACATCCACGAAAGCAGCTGACACAACTGACTCAATCCACTGAAACCCTACTTGTGGGGTACTGGTCTCATGATTTTCTGCCTATTTTCTGTTATCCCCTCTAAGTGTCTTGTATGGGCTCCTCTTAAATATCAAAATTTTCCTAGGATTTGGTCCTGTACCTATTTTATTTCACTATACACATTCTCTCTAGGGGACACTCCTGGCCTTAGCCTCTACCTATTATTACATGACCCCCTATTTCGAGACCAGACTTCTTATAAGCTTTAGACCTATATATCCAATTGTGTACTAAACAGTTTGACTATTACACTGGAAACTCAGTCCTCCCATGTCTAAAACGGAATCTATTATACTTCTACCCCAAACTTGCCTATCCCTTTTCTGTCTCTAGACTGCTATCTACCTGCCTGCCAACCAGAAGTCCAGGAAAAATTCTGAGCTGCCCATCATTAATGTCTGGTCACCAAATTCTGTTCATTTTCACCTGCCAAATATTACTTATAACCATCCATCACAAACATCCATAACAACCTCTCTAGCTCTACTATCATTATCTTGGCTCAATACCTTATAATTTCTATTAGATAACTCACAATCTCCCCTGTAATTTCAGTTTCCAACTTTATCAAAATTATATATGCACAAGTTTCAAAGTCATATATAGTTCTACAAGGTTAGTAATAAGAAAATCAGCCCTCTGCCCTCTCCCTTTTAGCTTACTATTTTGATGTTTCTTTCCATGTCTTTAAATACCTTTCTTATGTTGCTACTTCTTGATTTTTTACTTTTATGCATATCTAATGACTTCCTACTAGGGGCACCATTCTTTCATTTACCCAACAAACATTTATTAAATGCCAGTATTCTGCCAGGCACTGGTATGAGTGTTTGGGATACAGTAAGCAAAACAGACAAATATCTATCTGGGTAGAGATAACAGAATATTATATTATTCATTATAAAGTAGTATCATTGCTAGCAAGGTAAGATGTCCTCTTTTTGTGTTCCAGTAGTGATCTATTCCTAACGCTATCATAGGCAGAAGATTCTATATTACAGTACTATATAAGACTGTGGTTGTACTCTTGTGTTCCTCCTAAGGTTCTGATGAGTCTGTTGTGACTAGAGGGATCTCTCTGCATGAGAACAGAAGAGCCTCCTGGAAAGGTGCTAGAGACCTTAAATTATGTTCAAAAATGGGCTTGGATCATTTTAAAGGAGCCGAATCCATGAATTTCCAGATTAACTGCAAAGGACTTGTTAAATCCAAATTTAACATGCGAAAGGTTAAAAGTAACAAACTGGGATCATCAGGAAAAGGTCCTTAGATCATGATTTAATTTTCAAAATGGTACCACTGACTTGGAAATGAAATTTAGAAATGTTTGAACTTGACTGGCTTCTTTGATTAGACAAGGTAATTTTATTTTAGTGTCACAGATCCCCACTTGCTTTGTTAGCTGAATAATAAGCATACAGAAAGGATAAAAAGAAGTGTAATGATAATGTAAAAACAACTGCTATCATTTTTTCCCTTTCTGTTTACCTATTTGCCTGATTATTAAAAGGAATACAATGAGGTATGGGGCGCCTGGGTGGCTCAGTGGGTTAAAGCCTCTGCCTTTAGCTCATGTCATGATCTCGGGGTCCTGGGATCGAGCCCTGCATCCGGCTCTCTGCTCAGGGGGGAGCCTTCTTTCCCCTCCCTCTCTACCTGCCTCTCTGCCTACTTGTGATCTCAGTCTGTCAAAAAATAAATAAAATCTTTAAAAAAAAAAAAAAGGAATACAATGAGGTAAAATGGTGTTTCACAACTGATTTCTCAAAAAATTTACACAGAATCACAATTGGTATATTAGTGTTTTTCTTAAAACAAGAAGGTTAAAGGCTTAATTAATTCTTTGACATAGTAATAAAAATTATACTATGAGCTAGTTCACAATACTTTAGAATATTTTACATATATAAACCCCCTTCTCTAATAAACCTTTAAAGATATTTTGTTATATTTTATTATTTTTATCTTCTTTTAGAATTTAATTTGGTTTCAAATATTAAGTTAACAAATTTCTTAGTTAAAAACCACTATCTGGGGGCGCCTGGGTGGCTCAGTGGGTTAAGCCGCTGCCTTCGGCTCAGGTCATGATCTCAGGGTCCTGGGATCGAGTCCCGCGTCGGGCTCTCTGCTCCGCAGGGAGCCTGCTTCCCTCTCTCTCTCTCTGCCTGCCTCTCCGTCTACTTGTGATCTCTCTCTGTCAAATAAATAAATAAAAATCTTTAAAAAAAAAAAAAAAAAAAAAAAAAAAAAAAAAAAACAACAAAAAAAAAACCACTATCTGTAGGGGAATTGTCAAAAAATTTAGTAGGTCTGAGAAAAGGAACAACAACAACAAAAAATCAGCAGTCTTCTGCCATCTTCCCCAGAGATAATTATTTTAAAGTTACAAAGACCTATTTTTGCTATGGCTAATTCCTTAATTAAAAAAAATAAGCTGAATATTTACATAACATTTATCAAACTATTATTATTTTTAAAGATTTTATTTATTTGAGAGAGAGCGAGAGAGCGTGCATGAGAGCACATGAATGGGATGAGGGGAAGAGGGAGAAGCAGACTCCCAATGAGCAGGGAGCCTGATGTGGGACTTGATCCCACTACCCTGGGATCATGACCTGAGTGGAAGGCAGATGCCTAAGGGACTGAGCCACTCAGGGGCCCCTATCAAACTATTAGTAAAGAAATGTTAGAAAGGCGGCATTTCCGGAAATAGATTTTTAAAAAAGCTTTTCCTAATGCTATAATTACATGAGCTAAAGTGTTCACTACTCTGATAAAGATCTAAAAATCATAACCAACCAGCATATCTATGAGATAAGAAGTGACTATATTTTGTGAGAGCTTCAGAAAGATTCACTTTTTATGAAGAATATAAATTCACTTGTCAGAATATTGGAAATACACATTAAAATTGTTTGAATTTTACCATCAGTGAGTGACCACTGGTGGAAACAATTAATTATTGCTGAAAGATATCTGTTGATGGTATTTACCTTGACCATAATCACATACTATGCAAATACTAAAAATTGTTAGAAGTATAGTTGTTTAGTAAAACCCAGTTTTTCTACTCTTACTTATAACACTCTTTGAACAATACAGTTTACGAATTTTTGTAGTCTGAGTTTTGGCTTTGAAAATTAGATCCTATCTAAAAACTTAAAAGAAGAAGATGCTTCATTAAATAATTATAAGTAAAAAAAAAAAAATTATAAGTAAGTGAACTGTGAATCTTTACTGGCCAAATCCATTACTCCTTTTCAAGTGAGGTGCCACTTATCTGTATATGTGCTGTAGAGCTTGTGGAGTATTTAGTGGCTTTTTTTTTTTTTTAAGTTTTTATTTATTTGTGAGAAAGAGGGAGAGGCATGAACAGTAGGGGGAGGGGCAGGAGAGGGAGAAGTAGACTCCCTGCTGAGCAGGGAGCCCAATGCAGGACCCATGGGATCCCAGGACCCTGGGATCATGACCCAAATCAAAGGCAGACCCAACCGACTGAGCCACCCAGGTGCCCTGAATATTTAGTGTTTTATGTAGATAATCAATCACCTGAACACCTGACCAAAGGAGCTTGAAATCTTAAGAGATCACAAGAACCTGTTTAAAGGCTCAGATCTTGTCTTGGACAATGTTTTCTGATCCCTAATAACTTTAGCTGACAATGACATAATACCCTTCTTGAAAAAATACCCTGAAATCTGTGAATGTAGATTAAATCTTGGGAACAGAAAATGACCTAAGTGTACCTAGTCCAGGTACTAATACGTTAGGAAAATAAATGACAATTTTCTTCTCTAGAGTAAAACATTTCATCAGCAGGAAGGATTGAAGACTTTATAAAGGTGTTTACTGATAAATAACTCGCAGAAGGTTAAAATGTTAAGCAACCTTAATTTTAGAAACTTTGCTAATTATTGGGGTGCTTGGCTGGCTCAGTCAGAGGAGTGTTCGTGAGTTTGAGCCCCACACTGGGTGTAGAGATTGCTTAAATAAACAAACTTAAAAAAAAAAAAAAGAAAATATGCTCATTATCACACTTACATAATTTTTTAACATAAGGGCAAAGAACTGATTTATAATTGATTGTTTAACGTATTCTGAAGTAACACAGAATGAAAATTGATTACCTAATCAAGTAGCAACAGAAGAGTAAACTGAGGATGAAGACAAATATAGCAGTGCCAAAAACCACAATATATATGTTGAGAGGAAGATTCTGGAATCCAATATTAGGCATCCTGAAGTTGTAATGTGGGAAATCCGAGCTCATGGATGAACTGTGGGGGTAGAAAAGAATGGAAAAAAATTAGGGTATAAGACTAAGAATCAAGATAGCATTATCTTTGTATGTATACAAGGCAATGATATTATTAAGACTTGACCCCATCTGAAACAAATATGATAAAGAGTTAATATTCTTGCCATTCATCTAATTATCATGCCCAAAATAGTTTCTGAGTACTTATTATGTACCTGGCACTATTCTAGAAGCTTGAGATCCTACCTAAAAAACTTTTACAAGTTATATTCATTCATTAAAAGGTATTTCACTGGGACACCTGAGTGGTTCAATCCGTTAAGCGTTTGCCTTCGGCTCTGGTCATGGGATCGAGTCCGGCACTGCTGAGCAAGGAGCCTGCTTCTCCCTCTGCCTGCCACTCCCCCATCTTGTGCTCTCTGACAAATAAATAAACAAATGCTAAAAAAAAAAAAAAAAAAAAAAAAAAGTATTTCGCTGAAGTAATGCCAGGAATTAATAAACATATGAACAAGTTCAAGCTCAAACTGCTCAGGCTCTCAGCTCAGCTGGAAGTCTGCTTCTCCATCTTACTCTTCTTCTGTGCTCTCTCTCAAATAAATAAATAAAATCTTAAAAAAAAATAGCAGCATTAATAATAGTAAAATATTGGAAATAACAAATCTCATAAGGAGGCAGTGATTAAATATGTTGAATCATGTTACAGTATTATGAGGTCATGAAAATCTGTTTTAGTAAATTTTAATGTCAAGGGCAATATAAAGATATATGGGAGAGGAGCCCAGGTGGCTCAGTGGGTTAAAGGCCTGGCTCTTGATTGTGGCTCAGGTTGTAATCTCAGGGTCATGGGATTGAGCCCTGCATTGGGCTCCACACTGGTGGAGGGTGGGGATGAGGGGGGAATCTGCTGGAGATTCTCTCCCCCACCCCTCCCTGCTCACATATGCACTCTCTCCCAAATAAATAAATCTTTTTTAAAAAAGACTTTATTTATTAATTTGTCAGAGAGAGAGAGAGAGTACAAGCAGGGGGGAGCAGGCTCCCTGCCAAGCAAGAGCCTGATGTGGGTCTTGATCCCACGGTCCTGGGATCATGACCTGAGCTAAAGGCAGACGCCTAACCAACTGAGCCACCCAGGTATCCCTAAATAAACACATCTTTTTTTTTTTTTTTTTTAAAGATTTTATTTATTTATTTGACAGACAGATCACAAGTAGGCAGAGAGGCAGGGAAGCAGGCTCCCTGCTGAGCAGAGAGCCCAACTTGGGGCTCAATCCCAGGACCCTGGGATCATGATCTGAGCCAAAGGCAGAGGCTTTAACCCACTGAGCCACCCAGGCGCCCCAAATAAACACATCTTGAAAAAAAAAAAAAAAGATATATGGGAAAAATTAAGCAGGCTATAGATTGTATATAAAATATCCCAATTCAACTCTGCCTTCGGCTCAGGTCATGATCTCAGGGTCCTAGGATCGAGCCCTGCATCTGGGCTCTGCTCAGCGGGGAGCCTGCTTTCCTCTCTCTCTCTCTCTGCCTCTCTGCCTACTTGTAATCTGTCTGTCAAATAAATAAATAAAATAAAATAAAACAAAAAAAATCCCAATTTTGGAAAAGGTTGAAAAAAATGTGTACATACTGGTGTATATGTGTGTATGGCAGAAAAAACCTGAGAGCCAACATGTCAACATGTTAACAGTGGCTTGTGGTTTACTAGTCATTTTGATTTTCTTTTTTTTTTTTTTTTAAACTTCCTTTATTAAGTTAGGCCTTGTTCTAAGCATTTTACTGGCTTTATTTTATCTTCACATAATACCTCTATAGATAGGTATATATATACCTACAGATAGGTAATATCTCCCATTTTATAGATAAGGACACCAAAGCTTGGAGAGTTTTGATCACATAGTCATGAATGACCAAGTATGTATGGCAGCCAAGCCTTCTCCAACTCCAAAGCCAGTGAACCCATAGCCTATATGCTCTATGGTCTTTCTCTTGTGTTGATTTTATAATCAGAAAACAGCAAATATTGTTCACACATTTAAAAAGGGGATTTGTTTGTCAATTTGTTTGGTAATACTTAACTGATCACCACACAGTTCAAATTCCATGAGTGGAGGCTGACCTCTTCATTGGATGATGAGGTTTTTTTTTTTTTTAATTTTATTTTTTTATAAACATATAATATATTTTTATCCCCAGGGGTACAGGTCTGTGAATCGCCAGGTTTACACACTTCACAGCACTCACCATAGCACATACGGATGATGAGTTTTAGTGATAAAGTGGCTCATCACACCTTTTCACTAGAACTTTTCTCCTCATTGTGATTCAATACAAAAGAAAGAGCAACTGCCAGGCCTGATTATCAAGATTACGTATTGATAACTGAATCATAACAATGACTACTGCCAAAATCAAGACAAAACAAAGACCTACCAAACACTGCTATCTTTTATATAATGTAAATTTAAAAAGAGTTTACAGATTTTTTATGTCTTTTTTGGTTCCTAGAAGAATATACTTATAGATACTACTGAGATAGTAACTGGCTATATGTGAAATCTAATGAGTTATTACTTTAAAAAAATTTATTTTGAGAGAGTGCATATGCACACAGGCATGGGAGGGGCAGAAGGAGAGGGAGCAGACTCCCCACTGAGCATGGAGCTCAAGGCAAGACTTGGTCCCGTGACCCTGAGACCATGACCTGAGCTGAAATCAAGAGTCGGCACTTAACCTACTGAGCCACCCAGGTGCCCCACAACTTATTACTTTTATTTATTACTTACTAATTTCCAGCTTCTAATAACTTATACCAGGAAGTCAACAGCTGCAAAGGACAATTTCATCCCAAGGAAACTCTTCTCTGAGAACTTCCATGCAAAAATAATGGGTAATATTTAATTTTCAACTTTTAGCAATTTTCTGCAAGTTGCCTTTTTACTCAGATACATAATTTCCCTTTTCCTACACTCAGATCATCTTGGAAGGGAAGGAAAGAGTTAAGGAGTATTTTATTGAATATATCTAGCATATACATTAGAGTGTTGTAAGAAAATTATAGCTGCACTAAACTTAACTCTTAATCTCCACATCATTGAGAGGCCTCACTTGATGACCCTTGTTCCAGCCAAGACTAGGATGGCAGTCCTTCAGTCCCTTAGAAATATCCCTCAGCAGACAAACAAGGCTTGGCAAAAGAACTCTCACCTTAGGAAATAAGAGATTAAACACCCATGCTGGAAGGTTTAATAGAGAGGAAGCAGGGAAACAGAAAGTGGTATTGTAGAAAAAGGGACAGGTTTGCAGTCAACAACTCTGGATGTTGTTCCCAGGATATCACTAACTAGATGTCAGTAATAGGTCCATCTATATCTTAATTTTCTCATCTTTCAAGTGGAAAAATGCCTATTCTGTCAACTTCAAGGGATTCCTGGAAGGATAAAATAAGACCACAGATACTGAAGTATCTGAAAGAGTTAGTACAAAATACTAAGGTTTTAGTGCATTTGTGTGTGTGAGAGCACATTTTGGCAGGGATAACGAAGAGGGGTGACTTTAAGTAAAAGAACATAAGGGGCACCTGGGTGGCTCAGTGGGTTAAGCCTCTGCCTTTGGCTCAGGTCATGATCTCAGGGTCCTGAGATCGAGCCTCGCATTGGGCTCTCTGCTCAGCAGGGAGCCTGCCTCCCCCTCTCTCTCCCTGCCTCTCTGCCTACTTGTGATCTCTGTCAAATAAATAAATAAAATCTTAAAAAAAAAAAAAAAGTAAAAGAACATAAAAGAAGCCTTGACAAAGATCAAGTCTCTGGGAAGGATTTCACCAAACCAAGAGCTCCTTTCTCTGGGAGCTCCTCTGCACATGCTGCCAAGCTTTGTGGCAAGTGGCCTGCCAGCCTGGTCCCCAGAGGCAGGAACTGGAAACTTACTCTGGTTAAAGGCAGCCATCAATATAGGCCAGCAGAGTGTGTCAGTGGTGTGAGAATGCTGTCTTGCAGGAGTCCTTGCACTGGGTGGCATCACCAACAAACCTGAGGAATTCTGAACAGGTACCCAGACATGTAGAGTATGAAAGGTAGCACTGTCATTAGAAGAGGGAACAGATGTCTACTTCAGTGTTCCTGAGACCTGGCTGCTGAGATTTTTCTGAGTTTTCCCTTCTTAGCAGCGCCTTACAACCTATTACCAGAGGGGTGGGGTTGGTAGAGGATAGCTGATGCAGAATACATTTTAGGAATTTCTCCCATTCTTTTGATAATTTAATTGCTTAGCTACAATTGAAATTTTGGCCCAACAGTCTAAATAGATGGTGTATTATTTCAAGATGTTAATCCTAGTCTAGTGACACTTCAGTTTTACAATATTTTCATCATAGTATCTTTTCAGCATGAGCATTAATCTTTTACAATAAGGTCATTTTTAAAAAAAGAGAAACACAACTGAGTCTGGGTGACTCAGTTGGTGAAGCAGCGGACTCTTGATTTTGGCTCAGGTCATGATCTTAGGGTTGGGGAGATCAAGTCCCATGTAAGGTTCTGCAAGCAGCAGGGAGTCTGCTTAAGTTTCTCTCCCTCTCCCTCTGCCCCTCTGCCTCACCTGTGTGCTCTCTAAAATAAATGAATAAATCTTAAAAAAAAATCCACTATTATCATCCTAGTAATAGGCATACTTTGTTAGGTATTACAAATGTAAAAATTATTTAGGAGCTGCTCCTTGTGGGAGTGATGAGGAGAAATAGAACTGCTGGATCTTGGCATTTCTGATTTCATTTGCATGAAAACCTTCCCCTCGTTATGAAATTCATAGCTCCTGATATCTCTAGTCTCGGTCTCAATTTCAAATCATCTAATCAGGTTATTTAAAAAAAGAAAAGAGGGGCGCCTGGGTGGCTTAGTTGGTTAAGCATCGGCCTTCGGCTCAGGTCATGACCCCAGGGTCCTGGGACTGAACCCCACATTGGGTTTCCTGTTCAGCAGGGAGCCTGCTTCTCCCTGTCCTGCTCCCCCTACCAGTGCATGCACTCCTTCTCTGTCAAACAAATAAAATCTTTAAAAAAATTAAAAATTAAAAAAGAAAAGAAA